GCCTCTGCGGCGAAACCCCCTTGGTTCGGGCGAGTGCGGGTATCCCTGACGTCTGCGAAGTGATTACGCAGTATCACTGCAAACAATTTGACCGCAATATCAATGAGGCTAATGCTCCTGACAGGGACACAAAAAGTACGCATTGCTGACGAGTCCCAAACAGGACGAAACAGCTGTCCAGTGCTCTTTGTTGGTTATCACAAATATTTCCATCGCGTTTAAATGCATACAAACAGTGGGGAATTATCATCTCCCAAGGAGTGAAACCCACGCCGAGAACCATCAAGAGTGCCTGGTGCCTCTGAACAATCGAATGGGCTAATCCAAGCTCGATACTCTAAAATGATTGAGCCATTCTCACAAGGTGATAACCGTCGGCCGTGTAGCTCAGGGNGGGGTAAGGGTTTGAAGTCCCGACCCGACTGATCACGGTTCGAGTCCTGACAGGGACACAAAAAGTACGCATTGCTGATGAGTCCCAAACAGGACGAAACAGTTGTCCAGTGCTCTTTGTTGGTTATCATAAATATTTCCATCGTGTGTGAAAATATCTTCACGGAAACTGCAAATGTAAGACCTACAGAAAAACGCAAAAAGACATGAAACTATCTGACTCATTCAGCTTTCACTCATAGGTTTGATTCGGAGACACGTTCAGCTACATCTGATTACGCTCATGTATTGTTTGTTGTCCGCAAAACTCATTGATAGATACCTAGTATACGTTACTTGCTTTTTATTGGATAGGTGATTTGATAATTTCTCGACGTCAGTTTTTTTGGTTTTTGAAGTAATTTTTCGTATTTTCCGTTTTACTTTCAGCATGAAACAAGCGGCAATCAGAAAGTTCAGTACCATTCGGTCGCCGCCTCTGGCACCGAGTGAAAGCAGCGCGGCAAAGAAATCAGTACCCGGTCCGACTTCTCCCCTACATGTTTTCAATCTGCTTCTGTTCTCCACCTTTCGTAAGCCAATCTTTGTGGACACTANNAATATATTTGTGTGCTGCAGCCGGAGGTTCGCTTTTCTTCGATTTCGTCCGTGTACCGCCGTCGTATTTTTCGAACAAATACAATCTGCTCAACCAGGCATTTGTGAAATGGGGTTGGGGCTGGACATGTATATTGTTGTCCACCTTTATCATTTTCTCCTCGTTCGTGTACACCGGTTCTAATGTGAGGTTGATGCGCGCTCATATTTTGCGTATGGTGATTGGAACAGGATGTTGGTACTCAATCACTGGCTTTTTGAATTTCGTTCTTGACATGACCGGACATTGTCAACCTACCAATCTGGCCGTAAGCAATGGTTTGCGTCCAATGCGACGCACACTTTGTCATCGAGCAGGCGGTGTCTGGGTTGGTTTTGATATTTCCGGACACTGTTTCCTGTTGGTACTAGCTAATTTGTGGATTATGGAAGAGCTTCAATGTATGCAACACTGGTCCAAGCTTGCAGAAATGCTCGATCCATTCGATCAACGTGGTGAAGCAGAAACTTGTCCAAGTACCATACTGCGGCGCGGTGTTACCGCGGAACAATGGAAAGTGATGCGCTCCGCGTTCCGTCGGTTGACCGGATCGGTTCGTGCTGTGTTTACGCTCACCGCCTTCTTGTCTATGATTTGGGATTTCATGTTCCTGACCACAATCATTTATTTCCATACGATGCCGTCCAAACTGGTTGGCACGGTGTTGGCGGTTGCATGTTGGTTTTTGTGTTATCGAGTGATCTTTCCGTGCGCAAAAACTGGAGACTGGTTCGGCATCGCACCGGGAATGCCCGGGGATAGTCCGCTTGATTTTGTTGTACGTCCGAAGTAGGATCCCGAAACTTGGCATAGTACACATTGCCCAGTTTCCTCGCTTTTTCCCGTTCCTTCTCGACAACTTGTACCCAGTGCAATTTTCAATCTGGCCATTTTTTGTTTAGTGAACACAAGCAGCACATCATGTTCTCACAGCATTGTCTCTTACCTTCTCCGCTCTTATTTGCTTGTTTTCTTATTCAACCGAAATTTGTTGACATTGGACGAGCACTTGAAACAGCTTAGATTGTTTTTGATTGCATATAAATATTGTATGTTCTTTACATGTCAGATCAAATGTGCTCAAGCACCAAATTTAATGGTGTCTGAGTTCGTTCAGTTTTCATTCGAATTAACAGAAGATGATGCACAGCTGCATAGTGTGCTGTAAGGTTGTTACTAAACAAGTATGGTTTTAGAAGGGAGTAGTGGATGAAGCACTGAACCAGGAGAATATCATGTATAATTCGTAGACTATACGCCAAACAAACCACAGTACAATAATCTTGATCAAAAACGAAAAGTTTCATGATTTGCTTGTGGGCGCGATACTGCCAGGTTGCCCAAATCAAAGGGAACCTTTGGTTAACCAAAAACTAACCCGCAAGACAGCGGAACGGTGTGCGAAAACCGCAGCCCCTTGGGGGTCAGCGTCTAATTCATCGGGTAATACGCCCCTTTCAGTTTCAGTTTGAACAACCATTAACCATGCACTTTCGTGCGCCGGTTTTGGTTGCT